TTTCTCTTTGATTTCAATGCGTAATGATGGTTTGCAAAAACATGACTGGCAGTTTGCTATAAAAAATACTTGAGAGAATATCCTTGACTGAGCCAAAAAGCTTAACATAAATTTAAACAATATTCGTGCCCCAAGAAAACAGTCATTAACCTCATCTTAATTGTAGCACAATTCACACTTTAGCTAAATACCTGGGCAGCTGTTTTGTGTTGGGTTTGGGACTAGAAAAGAAGCAAAGGGGAAGTCTGGAAGGAGAGGAGGGCTGACGAGAAAATGTTCAGTTGTAAGTTCTGCCAAGTTTGCTAAGCAACAGGCCTCTTCACTCATATATATTAACTCAGCAACTTAGGCATTTTGCTGTTAGTAGCTAAGTTATTCACAAAGGATATTAACTTTTTGCAGCACTTAAGTGATCTACTCTGATTCACTAGATCATGCTTGTACTTGTTATGGTTGCTCTTTTGCCAGTTTAGTGCTGGATCTGAAATTGCCATTCATGGCTCTGCCATTTGGCCTCCTGTGTCACTGGTCCTAGACTGAGCAGGAAATCGAAGAAAGCTGCACTGTACACAGAGAGCAGCTATGGTGAAAAAGTATTAGTCAAAGTGTGGGAATTAGTGTACCTGTTTCTTTCCTGTGTCTCGGATGAAAGAAGGAACATGTATAAGAAATAACCGTAATTTTGCAAAAAATGAGGACCTTCTAGAAAATTTTGTAAATAAAGGCAATATTTTTCATGGAATAAGAAGTTCTGCCGGGCTGTGTCTCAGCCTGTAATCCCAAGTTTTGGGAAGTCGAGGTGAGTGAATTGCCTGAGCCCGCGGGTTCAAGACCCACCCTGGGCAACTTGGCGAGACCTCATCTCTACAATAAATCAAAAAAATTAGCCGGGCGTGGTAGCGCGTGCCTGTAGTTCCAGCTACTTGGAAGGCTGAGGCAGGAGGATCACTGGTAGAGACTGCGGTGGCCGGGAGCGTACCACCGCACTTCAGTCTGGGCCACAGAGCTAGACTCCTACTCAAAAAAAAAAAGAAGCTCATATACCACTTTTAGTGAAAAAAGGACAAAAAGGTCAAGGGGCAAGTCCCCAGAAAGATGGTCAACCTGGGTGATTATTTTCCTTTACATGAGCACGCTTACTGTGGCTGCATATCTCAATCCTCAAAAAAGGAGTTAACACCTTTATTCTTGATTAATTTTCCTTCTACTTACATGTTTGCCAAATGATATAGAGATCTCATGAGCAAGCAGAAATAGAAGTCCTGTTCTCAAAAAAGCTTGTCATTTTTGTACTAGGATTACATGGTTCTCTAAGAATTATTTAACTTTCTCAGGGCATTATTTCAAACTCTGGACTTGGAGGATGGCATTGTATTAATAAAGGACAGTATCTGTTATCCTATATTGTATGAACTGCATTCAGAAAGTAATGTCATTTAAACAAATTATTAAAACTTAAAAAGTTGCGTTTACAATAAAAGAATGCTGTTACTCTCCAAATACAAAAAAAAATGGTAATCCTATTTTTTAGAATATTAGAGGTTGTTTGGCACTGCACCATTCAACTGCTTTTATTCTTCATTTTTTCTTATACCAAATATGTACTGAGCAACTTCTATGCCCAAGAAAGTATCAGAAACTGTGAATATAAAAATAAATATAATATTCTCTCTCATAGATAGGAAATATAATATTATATACTGTTTCAGTAATATTATAATTAAATCAGTTGTATCTACCAAATACGGTTTTAATTCTATCTGTAGCTAAGATAACCAATACTTATATTGGCAGCAAATTAATATCAATAATGGTCTCATTATCTTTTTACTTTAATATGGCCAACCAATATGACCAGCAGCATAAGGAGTAACTATTAGGCTTGGATTCACTTTACTTTAATGACAGAGATTATGTGGTTTTTAAAATATTTGGCTAATGAGTGTCTCAGGCAAATCAACAAATATGACCTTCATCATCCCTAAGTCAGAAAGCAACCCACAATACCCTCTTGTCATAGCAGTATCCTCTTTCCACATTATATAAAAATTAATATTAATATAGCCCCTGGAGATAACTGATATAAAAAATGGTAAATAAATTATTTCTTGAAATTCCATGTTTCTTAGTTTTTAACTGAGCTACTACTCTTAGTATTTCACCAGCCCAAACCAGAAATATCCTTTAAGTAAAACAAAAGCTAGTATAGCCATTCATTCAATTTTTAAAAGGCTGCTCTATATCAAACCAATGCAGTGTGCAAATATAGAACTTAATTAAAATACTATATATAAAATATTAACAGCTGCAGCTATTAAAATTACATTAAACTCTCTTGAGCTAGGCCAACATAATATGAGCTCTCCTTTTGTCCATTTAGTAAAGGGCAAAACTTGGCTTAGTGAATGAGCTTTACTTTTTATATTGTTTGTTCCGATTCACTAATCTGAAATTTTAATCACATAAAAATACTTTACCATCAAAACACCACCAAGCATAGTAACTAAATCTTTCCATTGGATTCTAACAAAAATTGTATGCTTTGTTTATCTTCTTTCTTAGATGTAAATAATACTTTCTTTGACTATGTTTTTGTTCTTCCCATACAGAATTAAGCTTTGTAAATTAAAGTAGATATTATCTGCTTTTGACCTTCTCCAATGAGGGTATACATAGGGTAGTTAATAAACTATTGGTAATTTGGATGAATTAAAGAGCTTAAACAAAAAGTAGAATTTATTTGACTTGAGGATTAACGTATGTATCTGATAATTGATTAGTTTGCATCAATACTTTATTCTTGTAATAAGAAACTTCATCAGAAAACTCAAAATAATTTTGTTCTATGTATGATTGTGCATATGTGCATGTGTGATATGTATGTATACAGATATATACATGGAGATATAAATATATGTACACACTAATACACATTATATACATACACAAATATAAACACACATATATTTCACATAGAAAAAAGTTGGGAAACTTCCAAAAATATATGTCATTGTTATCAACTGAAGAATGAATGGTTTTCTTTTTCATTTTATATTATATATTTACTAGTATTTGACATTAATGTATTACTTTCATATAGTTAGGAAATATCTCATTTCTAGATAAACGAAATTATTTGACATTTGGTATTGTTTTGTTCCTCTGAATTTCCAAAAGATGCCCATATAATCTGATCTGTTTTGTTTTAAACTGTTATAAAATCTAACTTAAAATATCTCTTCTTGAAGGTCATTTTCAAAATCTTATTCTAGATATATCTTAAGTCAAATTATAGTATCCACAAGCTAACATCTCAAAGCACGATGTTAGCCCACGCTCCCACCCTCTTTAATATTCTTCTGTTTGAAAGTTTGTAGGTAGCAAATTAACTGCTACCTCTGGCAGAGATAAACTGGAGGGAGCCAAAGGGAGGCACTCTATAACATCTCTGCATTCCCATCAATGAAGTCTTCTCAGCTTAAATCAGAAAAAAAAACAAAGAATCCCATACCCTGTGGACTTCTTTAGGGAAATGAGAAGATTTAGGAAGACCAGTTCCTAGAGAAGGATGAATCAGAAACAGTTTTCAAGATGTCTGGAAACAGAAAAATTGGTTTTGATCTTTCTTCTATTCTCTTCTCTCACCTCAACTCCTTCCCAATTTTCATACATTCCATTTTTTAATTTTATTGGGTAAAAAATATATGTCTAAAAAGGCAAACAATCTTCGTGATCTATAAACAAAAAAATGAAAACCAACACAGGAATAAGAGAGAAAGAGGAAACAGTTCCACTGCAAAGAAACAGGAGGTAAGTGTCATGAGAGCCTGTGCAAGGAAGGTGTGGGAAGCCAAGCTCAGCCTTAGAACCTGAAGATGGTCCTTCTGAAACAGAATGGTTATCACAGATTACTGGATCTAAAAGAAGCACTAGGCATCACCTGGTCTGTGGCTCCAGAATGTAGTTGATCATCAGTGCCATCTGGAAAGTTTTTAAAAATGTAGAATACTCAGCCCCATTAATGTTGATCCCCCTTCACTGGATATGAATGGTTTTGGTTTTTTTTACCATCTGTTGTTTTACAGATGAAATAATTTAGGCCCATAAAAATGTCTTGACTAAGTCTACACTGTTATTTAGTGAAAAGGGAGATAGTATTCTCTCTCTCTCTCTCTCTCTCTCTCTCTCTCTCGCTCTCTCTCGCTCTCTCTTGCTCTCTCTCTCCCTCTCCCCTCACCCTTTTCTCGGGATTCTCATAAATGTCATTTCCTCAGCTTGGATGAATCTTTCCCCCAAATCTCATACTAGTCAACCTGACTAAGCCCTCTAAGCTACTGACAAATTTCAGTGTAAATGTTATTTCTTCAGGGAAACCTTTGTGCCATCTTCCCTGCCTCCTCTCTTAGATGAATAAAGTACAGCAATAAGAAGCCAGAGGAATGAATGCGTGCTGGTGGAATTTCAAATAAAGCACCAAAAAGGCAAGGGCTTTGGAAGGGCAGAAGAGCTCTCTCATTGTCCTTGAAATGCTACTGTTTTCAGTACCATAGAATCACTCTGGATAAAAGTGTGCTGAACCAACTAAGAATTTTATGTGTGGCTCATTCTAATTTTTAACATATTTTATATTTGCCACTTCAGGTGCCTCCAAACATCCCGTGACATAAGAGATAACTGAAAATTCAAAAACGCTGAATTTGTCTTTCCTGAATTCAAGATAAATTTTTTTTGGCAAGATTTGGCACTTGATTACCCAATGTCATTTAAGATGCTATCCTGGGAGTCATTTGAGCATTTGGGGTTTGATGCCCAACTATGATAATTAATTAGCTCTTTCTGATTTTTTTGTATGATGTGGATCAGAAACAATAACAATTTCCTTTACCCTTAAAGAAAGAAATGCAGGAAATATTTAATATGTTTGGTTTTAATTCTTAGGAATGGCAGGGGCTGGGTAGGATGTTCCAGCAGATAAATAGCATTAAAAAATCATAGATTACCTGACCGTCCGTCTCTCTGAAAGTCCACATGATACCATTCTCCATCATTCACTTTCTTCAGCAGGGCTTTGATTTTTATAGTACCTGACCCCATATCCAGGAGGAGGTAGAGGTGGCCATCCAACATCTCAATAGCAAAGAAGTCTACCTTTATCATTTGTGGATGTTTGGCATCTTTTTGATGTCTTGGCTTGCCGTGGCTAAATAAGATGAGGCCATTTGGCTCTGTTGTGCGGAAATCAAATGATATGGAGCCTGTTTTCTTTGCATTCCATTTTGGCAAAGAGATGAAAGACTCTGGGGTTTCAAAGGTGATTGGGTCTAAAGTTGCAACATTCTCACATTTGAATGCCACAACTCCGTGGATCTTCATCTTTGGATCTCCTTGCTTGGCAAGTCGAGATAATTCCAGCCTCACATCATTATTTTTATATACAACCTGTGGGCAGAGGATAGCAGTGAGAAATAGCCTCCATATTCTAATATCTGGAACTTGTCATCAGTTCATGTAACTTGTAGGTAGATCATGAAAGGGCATATAATACTTAATTTTGGTATATAAAGACAACTATTTTTCAGGAAAATAAAATGCAAGTACCAGCCCCCTGAACAATAACAAAACCAATTTAGTCCAATTCAAATAATTTCTATGGACACACACAAACTGCCTGCATTTAACTCAAATAATTTTAAAAAATCTGCATATAGTTTTTGTTATTATTGTGTCTAAATTAGCATTTGAAGACTTGAGTTTATAAAAGCTTCTTGTTTCGTCAGTTGGCTATTATCCTTTCTAAACTAAAGTAAGTATTAATATTATTCAGTTTTCCCAACACTAAATCATTTGAAATTGGATACTTTTATATACCCGTTTCCTAAAATATTGAATCTCTTCTATAATCTATACATTCACTGTGCATAGTAACTTTGTAAGAAAATCACGAGTTGAGATACAAAGCAGCCTGAAATTTTTCAGAAAACATATAAAACATAAGTAAGATGCAGTTCTCTCTTGTCCTGCCCTGAATCACTAACTATTTTGAAAACTGTCAATTCACATGGAACCAGCACCTGTAGAACACAGTATGCACTCTAAATCCATTCAACCAGTGTTTTTGTTGTCCCATTTCAATTTTAATTTACACATATGATGAGCAAAGGTTGTCTTATACTTTCATTTTCCACTACACTTTGACTGAAGTGACTGGGCAGTTTTGATTGCATGTTGATGGTCCTAGGGCTTTTTGGATTCCAACTCACACACAGTGGTAAATTCACTGGCAGGGCTCACAATATCATGCCTCTGCTATCACAACATGCTAATAAATTCATAGGTATTTTGACAGAAGGATAAAGAGAGAAACATATCCTTTCTCTACAAAATGCATACAGTGGATAATCACATTTCTAAAATACATTGGCCATACTGATTTATCGCAAATTAGTTACCTATGTTCAGATAACTATCTAAATTATCTTAAGAACTCAAAATTTCTCAGCAGCCAACATTGCTATGTTCTAAATTCATTTCATTTCTCCATATATAAAAATGTATTTATATAACAAGAAAAATGAGACAGTCTATGTCTGATTAGCATTTGTGGCCAATTGAACCAACAGATAGTGTAGCTGATGAGTTTTCTGATATGCTTTGTTAATAGATGCTTTATTTTTTAGAGTGATTAAGAATGCATGTCTGGCACTGGACTCCCAGATTTCAAATTTCCACTCCAGCATTACCAAACTGTAATCTCTCTAAACCTGGTTTTTTTTTTCTCCTTAAAGGGAGATAATACTTCACAGGATGGTTATAATAACTAAATATGAATCTCTCTAAATCTGTTTTTTTCCCTTAAAGGGAGATAATACTTCACAGGATGGCTATAATGATTAAATACAAAAATACATTTAAGTGAGAAAATCTATATAAAGGCAGTTATATCATTCCAGTGCCAGGTACACAGTAAGATTTCAATAAATATTAACTACTTCAAACTACAAGATAATAAATATCAACATCTCTTTATTGACAGCTAATAGACATAAAGATTTTAGTTCTAAATTTATCCATTATAGGAAAACATTTAGAAATTAAGCCCACACATGAATTGGTTTTTATACTTGATTTGTGCCAACTAAATAAGTCACATATTTCCATTGCTGGACCTGGTATTTCAGTTTACCTTTATCTTGAAGAAGGATTATTATAAGGAACATGATATACCTTGTTCTTTGAACAAATATGTACAATGGTTTAGCGAGCATCTATTGACAACAAAAGAAGAGAAATGAACTTGGGCAATAACAAAAAGGAATTACATTAATTCTAAAGAATACTTTCTTGAAAAGAGAAAGAGCTATTAAGTCTTACAAAAGTTGATTTAGAATTGCCTTTCTTTGGAGATCTTTAGAAGCGGAGAAAATGCTTTTCATGGATGATTTTCCAAGTTTTATAACCTCTCACCATGACTTTCATGCTACTCAAGCCTATAATTTTTTTCACTTTCCTATTGATTTATATTTTAACAGCTGGATATTCTTTTGACACGCATATTGATCAAGAAAGAGTATTTTCTGACCCAAACAATACAGGTGCTTCTATTGATCAATGCTAGCACATCATCCTTATAATTAAAATTCTGTAATAGCATTGAGTGCTTCTAGCATTAGCATGTGGGCATGAGGCTGGGTATATTGTCCCATGAATCTGACATCACCTACTACAAAGTGGAAGAATGAGGGGTAGTGCAATTATGGACCTATTTTCAGTGAGAGATTTAGAATATCATAAGGGAATCAGGTGTCTTGACGAGGAGGAGGTTCAGGAAGACATAGAGAAAAGTAGGAATAATTACTTTTGTCACATTACTTAGGGTTAACCATGCACCTCCTCCCCTCTAAAAAATTAATCTCCACCAGAATCTAAGTTTTATGCAGGCAAGAACCTTGCTCACCATAGCCCAGCACCAAGACTAGCTGCTGGCACAGAGTGGATATTCAATGAATATTTGCTGAGAGTTGAATAAAATTATTCTTTCACTTTTAAAAGCCTAGTTCCAAGATTATAGGCATTTGTAAATAATAATATTTAGCTATACAGTTAAAATACAGCAGAATGTGTAATTATGAGTAAGCGTACAGACGATTTTGGGTCTATTTCTCTAGGAAAAAGTACAAATGTCTTTGTATGTCCAGTTCAAAAAATGGCAAGCTGCCTTATGCATTAGAAAAATTAATCTTCAAACTCATTTGTGGGGCATTAATTACTTTTAGAATGAAGAATTCCTGAGTTAAAACTCTTCAGAGGTAGAGTCATTTTCCTACAAGAATTATCTTGAGAAGAAGCACAGTGTATACTTTTTTTCTTCCCATTTTTTTACTCTTTGAAAGGCTATTCCAGAAAACAGAAAAGCAATTTTGGATAGGTAGGCTCACAGCTCTCAGATTTACACTACTATTTCATCTGACCCAGATTTTATAATTACCCTACATTTCTAAAGTTAGACATACTCTTAAGATGAACAGAATCTGGTTCAATTAGAATAATGAATAGCTAGTAAGTATTCTAAATCTTCTAAAAATTCACTGGTAAGCTATTTTTGCTTCTTTCTGAAATCAGGTAGCACTCAGTCATAGGAATACCTTACAATTCTTCATATAATTTTTTTCTTATGTCAAAAGTTGTAATTTATGTTTCCCTTTTGAACAAATTTCTATGTACTCTATCACCTTAACAATAGATGATATTTTTGCATACTTATTTGGATCTGTTTATAGAACTGAAGTTTCCTTTGGAATATTGACTTTTTTTTTCGAAGAGCAATTCAAAGTGAATTTTACTTCCCTGCTTCATGGGCTTTTATAATAAATATCAAAAGAATAGAAGCATTAAAAAAACTTCAGTGTTTTTTGTTGTTTTTATCTTATTTTAGCTGCCATATAATTTGAGTACATTGTTATGATGGTCTTTTCCCTTTCATCCAACATTTGTTAGGATATTTTAAATATCCCTACCATATTAGTATGTAAGAGTAGGGAGGAACATGTTTGTGTTTTTACATTTCTAGGATTGACATAGACAATCACTGAGTATGACGTTTAATCTTGATGCTAATCCTGAAAACATGGTAACAATGCAGAGGAAACAAATAGGTTAAAGAATAAGAGTTTAACAGTCTGTATGTGAACTTGGTTTACTCTCAAAACTATTATCAAAGCCAAGTTGCCTAAACTCTCTGTCTCAGTTTCATAATTTCAAAAACTGACATCTACAAAGGGAAATCATGCCATATCTATAAATTCTTGAACTGTTTTCTCCTTAATCCATGTGATTTGGGACAGAGGTAAAAGATGTTCCACTGTTCCTTCTCTTTTTCTGGTTTTATGTAGTTGCGGTTTTTGATACCAGGATATTGTTCTCTGTTATGAGATATATTGAAACATTAATCCATTAGTAAAGAGAATGTTCACTGCATCTTTAGGTACACAGACATGCCTCAGGGATTATATCTATCTAAGATTTGTACAGATGGTATTCAAGCACTGGTGGCTGATAGATAAGGCTCTTTCTTTACAGAGTGGGAGTATGTGAAATAAGTATTTCAGTGCAAAAAAACAAAAACAAAAAAAATTTGCCACTCAGATAATGTCTTTTTAAAAAGAAATATATGCTTCAACTTAGAAATTACAGTGATGCTTTTAAATTAATTAATACGCACTTACCAAAACTATTCAAATCTTAACTATGATAGTATGCAGAGTGGTGAAATAATCACTGAAGTTAGAGTCAAAGTGCTGTGTAGGTATTTAGACTTTATTATGATCCTCTCTGAGAGATCATAAATAGCTCGTTTTACTCTGTCTTGGTTTTCTCTTCCATAATTGGAAATAATAACAAGTATGGCCCAAGAATCTGACTCTCATGTCAGATTTCAGCGATAACTCCAACCCACCCACTTGCAAGCCTGCAACTTTGTGCAAGTTCTTCACAAAGTCACCTTGCCAAGACTCAGTGATTTATCTGTGGAGTAGGAGAATAAAATCTACCATGTGAGGGTTATTGTAAATAATAAATTATATTTCAATTAAAGTGCTAATAATAGGTCCTGGCATAAATTCTTGAGTAAATATTTGTTGTTCTGATTAATATTGTTATTATTATTATTATTATTTTTTTTTTTTTGAGTTGGAGTCTCACTCTGTCTCCCAGACTGGAGTGCAGTGGCCACTCCCGGCCACCGCAGCCTCGACCTGCTGGGCTCCAGCGATCCTTCCTCCTCAGCCTTCCAAGTAGCCAGAATTACAGGTATGCACTACCATGCCCGGCTGATTTTTTGATTTATTGTAGAGATGAGGTCTCACTGCCCAGGCGGGTCTTGAACCCGCGGGCTCAGGCAATCCACTCACCTCAGCCTCCCAAAGGCGCTGGATTACAGGCTG